TACTATTTTTCCTATCGAAAACAAAACCAATTCAGCCAAGTCTCCTATTAGGTCTTTCAAGTTCGACATAAACCGCATCCACGATCTATTTATTTCGGCATTGATGATCCCTCATGCTAGGACATAAATCTGTTTGTTGGCATCTTGATCGGTTGCCAGCAGAAGTGTACCCTTGTATGGACCTTTCAAGTGACTACCGTCAACACAAATAACTACCCTTGTATGGACCTTTCAAGTGACTACCGTCAACACAAATAACGGGCCTCAAGTAGTGTATGTAACCACGAATGCTTGCATCGAAAGTCAGGAAGAAGTAATGAAACCTGTTACGGGAATCAACTTCAATGTGGGTTACTGTCCCCGGGTTACTCTCTCCTAGGACGTGACAGTATGACGATAGTTTTTGAAAACTATCCCCCGGTGTACCGTGTAGCATATGTAAAGCAGCCACTTTGCCCCTATGTGCTTTTTAGTAACTTATTTTCACACCAAACTCGCATTCCATGTCATGTGCAATAGCGGCAGGATCGTACGATTAGTATGGATTATCCAATTTTCCCAAAATATGCTCGGTAATTACAGAAGTAGTGGCATGTCGGTGTGCGTTACGACGAAAATTTACGGAACATGTGTGAATATTGTTGAATTTACGGATCATGAATATTGCAGACTGCTTCACACTAGAAGCCCGTAACATCCACTTGCAATTATCGTCTGCACATACCACAGTTAACATTTTGAGGCTTGACCTGCTGACCTTAAAAAGGAACTTGTCCTGCAAAGCAAGCACACGAATTTTGGAGTACAGCTCATTCTTACTGAAGAATATCTGCCGTTCAACAAGATCGGATGTACTTACACTTGTAATCCATTAGTATGTATCCAAACTCCTCGTCAACGTCGGCAATATTAGCACCATTTGTACCATGTAACGGCTCGTCCAACATCTCATCTAATGGTGCAGCCCCAACGTATTCAATTGGACTATCGTCTACATTATTGTTTGGGGCTCTAGGCTCATGACGGACGTCATCGTTAGCATGGGGAACATCCGCTGCTCCAAACGATGGGTCATGCAAATTTGTGTCCCTCCCCATGTCAACACTCGGCAAATCAGTTTCCAAAATAGTAATGCAGATGGTAGTTTCCGTATGAACAGATTTTTACCAAATTAGGTCATCATCTTTACGTATTTCGATCGGTGGTAAATTGAAGTTCGGTACTCTGAACTTTAATTCAATTTTTGTGCGCGGATTAATAACACCAAGTTTGTCATTCAACAATAACAGAAGACCGGCTACGGTAATACTTCTCGGCACTAAAATGGAAGTGGTTTTGTCCCCTGTCCACTTCCATTCGTCATCCACATGAATGAACTTTCCTCCGTATAACACGATGAATCTGAAATGATTGTCCATACCTGAAATATTGAGATTAGAACGATAAGAATATAGATACAATGAATGTGTCGATATGTATTAGCATGGAAGTGACACTTTCCAATATTATAACTAATGCAAAAACATAACGTGAAATGAAGGGCGTCAACAATTTTCAACTGTCAATTTCGACAGTTAAAATGTCTAACCCGACAGTTATTAAATGTCGGGTTCGACAGTTCAACTGTCAGAACTGTCGACAAGTTTCGGGCGTGTTTGGTATCTTGTTGAAAACATTAATGATTATAATGAATTCTCAACTACAACAACTACATCATCATAGCATCTGTCTAGAAATAAATGACTGAATACTTCATTAAGAGCATCATGATTAATAAGAATTTTTAAACCATTCTTCACTTCCATATTATGTTGTTTTTAGCATTTAAAAAAGACAAAGCTATTCAATAAAAATATAAATAATTCGTAAAAATTAACCTCTTAAAATGACTGATGAATTCAATACTTGTGTCTTCTTGATCAAGAAACGAAGAAGAAGGATGAAGTGAGGGTTTGTTGGAAAAGAGATTTGGTTGATGTTAAAATGAGATTTTCTACTTCTTTTATCTTTTCTTGTTTTCCTACAAATTTGTATTTACACATAAAATATACATATATCCATAGATTATAATAATATATAAATTTAAATATCCATGATTATAATACATAAATTTAACTAATCAAATCATAGCATTAATTGGATTGGAAAGGTCGCATTAAATGCTCCTAAAAAGGGGAATGAAGGGTAAGTTGGACATTTCAAATTAAAAAAGTGACATTTTTGATAAAATTTGGTGTCCATGCAAATTTTTGGAGCATTTTCAAAATAAGTGAATTTTTTATAATTCCCCTATTAAAATTGGCGCTTCAAGAATTGGATACGTGTCGCCGCTACACAATCGAATTCACATAATTTATTAAAAAGTCAACGCGATCTTTCAAAGTTGTAAATTGCTGATTGAGCAATGGACCCGAAGATAAGGTAGAAATCGAAAATGAGAAGAATTACCTTCTCTTTTTTTTGGGAGACGATGGGTCGCGATGTTGCAGTGGTTTGGGGCCGTCTTTGCCGACGATCGAAGAGAAAGAAGCTGCAGTTCATTGCGATGGGTGATCGACACTACAAATTTGTCCAGAATTTCCCTCTCTTTTTTTTTTTCTTTTTTTGTTTTTTTTTTTTTGACTAGTTTAAAAGTGGCTTTGTTTGATTTTTTTTTAATACATTTTTCTCTTTCCTATTTTTCAATCATACATTTTTTCAATAAAATAATATTACATACAAATTTAAAACTTTTCATTTCCTTTTAATTACACATTCTCCATCACATCACTATTACAAAATGCATTTTTTTCACAAAAAAATGGATATCAAAGAGGCTCTATATCAATAAATCATAAAGGTTTAATTAATTTTTCTTATATATAACCAATAGAATTGATCTTCTGTCCTAAGTGGGTAAGATGAAAACTTCTCACTTTTGAAGTAATAAAGAGAATCGTAAGTATGATTATCTGAAGGTATAACTGTTGTAGAGAACTGTAAATATAATTTTTTTTGTCACAATAGTAAGAAAAAGTTTTTGTCTTATCCATTGTGGATAAAAGATCAAATTTGATACAATCGCCCCCGGGGCATAAATCAGTGGTACAAAGGGTAGGAGCAAGGTAGTCTCAACCTTGATGACAACCGCAGTGTGAGGGTTCAATTCCCGAGATATGAAATTAGACTATTTGTGAACACCAGTGTACGGGCACTCTTATTCCCTGGCCTACTAGAGTACACCCTGCGATTTATTTCCCTCACGCTACTCTAGGAATGGAACGGTGAGAGCCTTTAAGGTTGGGGTTCAACATTTTTTTTCAAATTTGATACAATCAAACAATGAAAATAATTTCTTCTCTTCCAAATATATTATTTATTTTCCCTAGCTTTGAATAATTGTGTTATCTCTTGTCAATTCAATTCAAGTGGCACGTGTGGGATGTTGGACCACTGACAGAATGGGAAATTAGAGAGCACACAGTACTACTCGATTCAAGTCAATTTTTTCAGAATGCAAACAATGCAAAGTGTTGAAACATTTAATGAAAACCAGTGACGTTCTACAGCCCCGTTGACCATATAATTGCGTCGACAATGGCAAATACAGAGACTTCTTAAATTTTTTATAATTGATGCATGTTCATGTTAAAATCTTAACTACTAGATACAACATTCAACAGTATAAACCGCATCGATATCATTCTCTAAATGATGCATATTTCACACACATGCAAAAATTTATAAAAACATTTACAAAATTCAACCTTTGCTATTAGGATTGAAGTATGATCGATCATACACCCACCTTTTTGAGATGGCGCCCAATACATAGAATTTCAAATTTTTTAACATTTAAAATTATAATTAAATGTTGAGTGATGCTAAACATACATCAGGTCGTTCATTATTTCATTCTAAGTGGGCCCCCTCTATATGAGGGAAGTGAATATCATTATGGACACATATTATGTACAAATAGTATATTCCTTAAATGTTTTCTCCGATTGATCAAAGAGCAAATTTTCATTCCAAAAAAAATTGAAAAATCATTCAAATATCAATATAAAACGCAGCGAGTGAAGCTTCAAATGAAAAATATTTTTCTACGAATGCGCCGGTCCTTTTTAACGTACGCTGCCTTGTCAGTATCGTTAATTTCTCTTATTTTGCAATTCGTGTATGTATATATACAGTATACTCCTGAAGATCACACACCTCTGTCCCTTTTGTGCTTTGCCGGCGCTCACGACGCCCTAGCTTTCTCTCTCTTTCTACGTACATATGTATATATTGCGTAACTATATTCTACAATCTCTTGGTAGTTGGTATGATTAGTTATTGAATCTAGTAGGTAAATTTCTTACCGTTTTATATCATCATGGATTTTCCCACTTAATGTTTTTTTACTTGTTACTTTGCCATTTAAATTTCATTTCCTGCTCAATTTAATGTTTTATCCGAAATCACTCATGTTTCATGTATACCATTAATAAAGTTTGGATCTCTTTTGTTGATTAATGATTGAGCAGTGAATTTTACTTTTTTCTTTAGTTTTTCTCCGATGGTACTGCTGTTTTCAGCTGAATGTCCAGTTCCGCTTATTTATTTCTGTACCTGAGTCAATCTTAATTCCGAAACTCTTTATCTAATAAATCTGAAGTTTTTGTTGTGTATGTATGCCTTAGTTCTGTGAAGATTCTGAAGGTGTTTTGAGCTGATTTTCCAATTTCAGCTAATTAGCTCTGTATCTGGGTTAATTTTAGTTCCGAAACTCGTATCTGTTAAATTAAAATTTTTTGTTTTTCATTGTGTGTATGTACATATGCCTTTGTCATGTATCTTGTTTGGTAGTTATGTGAATTGATTGATTTTTTTCTATTTTATTTTTTCTTTCCAAGTATTTCTTGATTCTGGACGGAAGTTTGAAGCTTGTTAATTCTGCTAAAATTTCCTGGAAAAATCAGCTCAACTTGTTACTATAAGGTAAGTTCTAGATTCTTGTCTTTTTATTGACGTAAATTTTACAATCTCAAATTTACAGTTTCAAAAAGTTGTCCGGAACGTGGTTTCAAGTTGATGTAGTTTTTTTCTTTATTCCTTCCAAAAAGAAGGATAAAGGTTCTCTTTCTACATTTTTGTGGATTTGATATTTCCTTATTATCGATGCTTTCTCTATTCAGTTGTATTTCATCCTGTTTTTTCAACATTTTGATTACACAAGTATATTCTAATTTGTTTAATACATTGTTACAATAGTTGGGTTTTACCAGTATCTATTCTACTCATTGTTGGGAATGCTAAGAACTTGGATAATTGCTTCTGTTAGCTGTTTCTGGATTGTCTTTTCATTACAGTGAACTCATATTGTTACTGACCATTAATTTATACTTGTTTATGTTTATGCTGAATTGCATACATCTGGAGTTGCCAATGACAATTTTTCTAATACTGGACTAGGCCACATTAGATCTAAGTAGTACAGGTATGGATACGTAATTCAAATACGACACGGATAGGCTGAGATACAACTTTCTTGAAAAAATTAGGATATGCCGATACTTGTTATAAATTCAGCATAATTTTATTAATATAAAAAACATTAATACAGAAGTATGATGATAAAAATAAAATAAAATACTTAAACACTTTATCTTAATCATTTATTGTCGAAACTTCATTTTCTTCAATATCATCAATAGCAATTTCTTCATTATTATTAAAAATAACATTCTCTAACTCTTGCTCATCTAATAATAAATTAGCAATGTCCCACATTTTGGATTCCCCTTTTGAATAGAGATTTACTTTTCTTAATAAAAGATGCAAATTTCTATGAATGAAAATTAATTTTTTAGCTCGTTGTAGAGTTATTTTATTTCTTCTCGTAAAATGCACAAAAGAGTACATACTCCAATTTCTTTTAGCTCTAGATGAAGAAGAATGTTGCATAAAAAATTTCAAAACAATGTTTTGTAGTAAAGGTTTGTGTGAACCATGAAGTATCGGATACGTATCGAAAATTATACAAAAATATAAAATAATTAAAAAATACGTATCGGATACGCATTGAAAATTTAGAAAATATAAAAATATATAAAATAATTAAAAAAATACGTATCCGATACTTATCAAAGGGTATTGAAGGGTATCGGAGTTTGAATACGTATCGGATACGGGTACGTAATGAGAATGAAAGAATGTGTGTTTTCTTTTTCCTTTGGTCCTATAATTTTGATGGAGCTCTTTCTTCATCACTTATTTAATACCCCACCTTGAAAAGAAAAAAAGGAAAAATAAAATGTTTGTCTGCCATCAGTTACTTTCTGTTAACCATAGGTTCCTCACTGACGATTTGGGATCTCAGCAGAAGCTATTGCCTTGATTACAAGAATGAAACTGTATTCTCAGTGTATTCTTTCCCTTCTAAGATAAGCTCTTTTGGGCATGCAGATTTCTAAACTGATTGTTATGCACTGAATTTCCGTTACTTCCCTAACCACAATAGGAAATTATCATATATTGCAAAATTTGCACAGAGAAGAACAATTATCATATGTTGACTGCAGTGATAGTATATTATATTGGAAAGAACAATGTGATAAGATCCGGTCAGGACTATAGAAGGAAGACAGAAAAATGAAGTAAAATTTATATTGATGGAATGCTGAATTACAGAAAATAGAAAATGTCTACAGCTTTTCGAGAGGGCTGAAATTCTCTCCTACTACTGACTTTTCTCACTTCATAGATGATATCCTTCCTCTCTTCTCTCGTCTTGCATTTATAAGTGCCTTATAACAGAATTTGGTTACAATACTGATTTTCTAACAGAATTTAGTGCTGTCACCATCCTTTATTTGTGGATCTTCTAGAATACGTGTGCTTAATTGGTGGCCTATCAATCACCTTCTCCAATTCAGCCACCTTGTCCTCAAGGTGGAAAGCAGGAAACTGTAGGTTGATCAGGTTATATGGTTCCCAAGTGGCTTCCAATGGAGACAGTCCCTTCCATTTGATCAACACTTCCTTGTCATCATCATTCCTTGGTAAGGCAGCACGAATTCCCAGCACTTCCTCTGGTTCCACCAATAACTCCCAATCCGCCCCCAGTATAATTGGGAGCTGAGTTGACGGATGGTGCTCTCCCACAGCTTTTCTTAGTTGTGACACATGAAAGACGAGGTGAATTAAAGTCCTAGGTGGCAGTTCCAATTTGTAAGCAACCTTTCCAATCTTGGCTAGAATCTTGAAGGGTCCAAAGTAGCGGGGGGGCCAACTTTTCATTGACTCGATGGGCCAAGGATTTGGGTCGATATAGTCTCATTTTTAAATATACCAAGTCACCTGTTGAAAATTCCACAGCTCGTCGGTGTTTGTTAACTGAGGCCACCATGTGCTGTTGAGCACGTTGCAAGTGTCTTTTGAGCTCCCCCAAGACCCTGTCACGATCCACCAACTGCTGGTCAAGGGAAGAGGCTACTGTGGTGCCCTTCTCAAATGGTAATATAGAGGGCGGTTCTCTCCCATAGAAAATGCGAAAGGGTGTACGTTGCGCGGAGACATGGAAGGAAGTATTTTATGAAAGTTCTGCCCATGATAAATATTGATGCCACCCTTTCGGTCGGAAGGCGGTTAAGAAACGCAAATAAGTCTCAACTCCCCTGTTAGCCACATTTGTTTGTCCGTCGGTTTGTGGGTGATATGCCAAACCGTACTTCAACTTAGTTCCCTGTAGACGAAACATTTCGCTCCAGAACTTGCTTAAGAAGACCTTATCCCGATCAGATACAATTGAGCGAGGCATTCCATGTAATCGAACTATCTCTTTGATAAAAACCGCTGCAACTGAGGGTGCGGTGAAAGGGTGCTTGAGGGTGATGAAATGAGCATATTTACTAAGGCGGTCCACTACTACCAGGATAGAATCAAACCCTTCTGACTTGGGCAACACCTCTATGAAATCCATTGAAATATCTTCCCATACCTTCTCCGGAATCGGAAGTGGCTGCAATAGGCCAGCGAGAGTGAGAGTGGAGTATTTGAACTGTTGACAAACCTCACAAGCAGCTATATAATTTCTGATACCTTTCTTCATTCTAATCCAGTGAAATGTGCTTGCTATTCTTTTATAAGTTTTAAGGAATCCCCCATGTCCGCCTACTTTGCTATCGTGCCCTTCCTGTAGAGCCAGCAATACCAATGAAGAGTCCCTGGGTAAGGTGATCTTGCCTTTGTATAATAAGACTCCTTGCACAAGGGTATAACTAGGACACGAAGATGGATTATCCTTGATAGCAGCCTGAATGCGGCCTAAAACCTAATCTTCTGTTTCGGCCTTAATCACCTCATCAACCTGCAAAACACTTGGGATGCTAAGGGCCATAAAGGTGGCTATACCCCCCTTCTTGGATAATGCATCTACAGCTTTATCTTCCAACCCCGATTTGTACTCAATGTCCAAGTCATACCCCAGTAACTTAGTTACCCACTTCTGATACTCTGCATTTATGACCCTCTGCTCAAAGAGGAATTTGAGGCTCTTCTGATCCGTCCTTACTATAAATCACCTTCCCAATAGATAGTGCCTCCACTTTCGCACTGCTAGAACAATAGCCATTAGCTCCCTTTCATAAATCGACTTTACTTGAGCTCTTGGAGGAAGAATGTGACTGAAATATGAGATGGGTCGCCGATTTTGCATCAATACAGCGCCCAATCCAATTCTAGAAGCCTTCGTTTCAATAATAAATGGCTGAGAAAAATTAGGCAGAGCTAACACAGGGACTGTCGTCATAGCTTTCTTAAGTGCAATGAATGCCTCCTCAGCTTTGTTGTTCCATCCGAAGTTCTCTTTCTTTAATTGTTGAGTGAGAGGCCAAGCCAGTTTCCCATAGCCCTCTACAAAACGCCAGTAGTAGCCCGTTAATCCTAGGAACCCACGCAGCTCCTTAAGGTTCTTGGGTCTGGGCCAGTTGGTCATGGCTGCCACCTTAGTTTGTTCAGCTGATACTCCTTGTTCTGAAATGATGTGGCCAAGATACTCAATCTTCCTCTGACCAAAAGAACACTTCTTCTTGTTAGCAAATAACTGGTTGTCTGCCAAGATTTGTAACTCCATGCGCAAATGGTTCCTGTGATCAAGCTCTGTTTGGCTGTACACTAATATATCATCAAAGAACACCAACACACACTTCCAAAGCAAGTTTCTGAAGATTTCATTTATAAGCGACTGAAAGGTGGCTGGTGCATTAGTCAAGCCGAAAGGTATGACAAGGAACTCATAATGTCCTTCGTGGGTTTGGAAAGCCGTTTTGGGCACATCTTCTGCCTTAACGCGAATCTGACGGTACCCTGACCTAAGGTCGATTTTTGAGAATATCCTTGCTCCATGCAGCTCATCCTATAATTCATCAATGACCGGTATCGGGAACTTATGTGGAACGGTTACTTTGTTAAGAGCTCGGTAATCAACGCAAAACCTCCAACCGCCATCTTTCTTTTTTACCAAAAGCACAGGACTAGCATACGGGCCGGATCTATGCTGGATTATGCCTGCCGCCAACGTTTCCTTAACTAGGCGCTCGATTTCATTCTTCTGGAAGTGGGGATATCTGTATGGTCGTACACTAACAGGTCCTGCTCCGGGTTTTAATGTCACCGCATGGTCCTGCCCTCTCCTTGGTGGCAGCTGCGGTCTGTCCTCGAAGACCCCCTTAAATTCTTCCAGGACCACTTCCAAGATCATTAGTGGACGCTGATCAGAAAAGGTGGAAGAGACTGTGATGGAGTTCAATTCCAGAAGCAACCTCTTCCCCTGTTCTTTGAAGGTCTTCCACATAGTCTTAAGCGACACTGGAGTTCGACTGAGGCTCGGATCACCCTGCAGGTGGATTGTCATTCCTGCCAGGGTGAAGGACATTGTCAAGCTATTCCAGTCAACCTGCATTCTTCCTAATTTCCGTAGCCACTGCATTCCAAGTATGACATCAGAGCTGCCCAGCTCTAGAGGCAAAAAATCTTCGACCACTTCTAGCCCAAGCAGCTTCAAAACCACTTGTTTGCAAATTCCCTCCCCCTTTACAGTTAGTCCGGTCCCAATTATCACCCCATAACCAGTGGTGCCTGATAAGGGAATCCCTAACTCTGCTAAAATGAAGTTATGAGAAGCTCCGCTGTCAATCAACACAACCACTTCCTTCCGGCCAATCTCACCTGTCAGTTTCATGGTCCCCGGTGCGGTAAGCCCTACTACCGAATTAATAGAGAGCTCCACCAGCTGCCCCAATCCTTGGCCTCCTTCGCCGTCGCCCACCACCCCGTTGGTGTCGCAGCTCAGTTCGCCGAGCTCCTGTACTTCTTCCTCCTCATCGCATTCCTCCATCTCCCTGATAACCAACACCTACAACTCTTTGTTCTTGCATTTGTGGCCAATTGTAAACTTGTCGTCACATTTATAGCACAAGCCCTTTTCCCTTTTGGCTTGAATTTCTGCATCGATCAGTCTTTTGAAGGTGGTCGGATTTCTGGAAGAATAGTTAGGGCGTTGTGTTAGGTATAGATTGAAAAAGACGGTGTTTCTGTTTTGGGTCAGACTAGGTTGAGGGGGATTTGGGCTGTGGTATGGGATGCGCTTGGGTTTAGTTGGGCCGGGGCTGTGAAGGGTAATTAGGTTGCGGTCTTCCATCATTTGGGCCACTTCTACGATTTGCTGCAAGCCCAATAGTCGAAGCAATTGGACTTCGGCACGGATTTCGGGCTTTAACACGTTGAGGAAACTGCATTCCAAAATCTCCTCTGAGACTCCTGTCAATGGCGATGCCAAGGTCTCAAACCTTCGGCGATACTCTCTCACGGTGGAATTATGCTTCAGGGACAAGAATTGGGCGAAAAGTGACCCTTCTTGTGAGGTTCGAAACCGCCTCAGTAGACGAGCCTTCACCTCTTCCCAATTTTTCATAGGTCTTCATTTCTCTTCCCAATTGAACCAGGCGAGTGCTTCCCCATCGAAGCACACTGCGACGGCCTCCACCTTTTCTTCCTCAGTCAATTTGTTAAGGTGAAAATACTGCTCCACCCGAAACACCCATCCATCCGGCTTGGTCCCTTCAAAAATTGGCATCTCCAGTTGTCTGATACGCAGTTCCGTTCTCCAATCACTAGATGTTCCCGTACTCTGCTGGCTCTCTCCGGGCTTTGAGCGTGTTAACCCGGTATCGGAATGTGTTATGGGAGAATGTTCAACCGCTGGGCCCTTCTCCTTTCGCTCTCGTTCCTGGCTTTCCCATGTTCGTAGCAGTAGATCGAACTTGGAATGTATCGATCTGAACTCTGACCTCAGGACCTCGATGCCAGATTGCAGCTCCTGATGATTGTTCTCTACCTTTTGTTCTAATTCCCCCATTCTGTCTGCAAGAGTCATGGCTATGACGGTGATTGGGATGCTCTGATACCACTTTGATAAGATCCGGTCAGGACTATAGAAGGAAGACAGAAAAATGAAGTAAAATTTATATTGATGGAATGCTGAATTACAGAAAATAGAAAATGTCTACAGCCTTTCGAGAGGGCTGAAATTCTCTCCTACTACTTACTTTTCTCACTTCATATATGATATCCTTCCTCTCTTCTCTCGTCTTGCATTTATAAGTGCCTTATAACAGAATTTGGTTACAATACTGATTTTCTAACAGAATTTAGTGCTGTCACCATCCTTTATTCTTGGATCTTCTAGAAGACGTGTGCTTAATTGGTGGCCTATCACAATGATGTCCCTGTTACAATCTGTTACAATTGAAGCCAATATTTTGGACGTAACAACACTATTTTATCATTCATGTTTAATAAGTAAAATTGTTCACCAATCAAACACATTTTTGAAAAGGCCTACCGGATAACTTTGTATTTGTACGTTTTCTCCGCTGCTGTTATATTTGGCTTACAGAATTACAACAGTGAATTACTAACTTCCGTGTTAGAGTGGTAGATGTGTTTAATAGATTTTATTGGCACATATAGCATTACTGCTTTTCTGACTTTATGATTTAAATTTATTTACCTTATTATATTTTATTGTACTTTGGAGTTCCCATCATTAATATTGACATGAAGCATTAGATTCTGTGAAAATGTTTTGGTAGTATAAAGATTAACTTATTTCCTTATTAAGAAATGTTACAATCTTTTGTTGCGTTATTTTAACTTACGGTTTGCAATCACATCTTATCAATAATGTGATCCTCATGGAACAGGATGACCAACCGCCATAATATACTGAAGGAATGCAAACTTGTTTAATATTATAACCCGTTATTGCTGCTAATTAGTGGAACTTCAGATCACATTTTATAGTAAATGGATCGCTGTGATACTTCAGGATTTGTGAGTGGGGGTTGTTTGTACACTTTTAGAGACACCTAACTGTAGTGTTGTCGCTAATTTCTGTAAGCCTGGATGACAGGCAGACTGTTCTCTGCAACTGAGTTTTGGTTTAAACAAGTGTTGTCTCATTTAGCTATTGGTCATGGATGCTAGATTCCACAATCTGGGTTTTGCTGCTAACCCTGTATCTAATGCATTCAAGAATCCGAGCAATTCCATCCAAAATGGAGCACCTGGAGCTGGAGGTGTTTGTTATGCTGATAGAATCTTACAACTTGATTCACCTGCTTTTCCAATCCCTTTAGCATCTGCTCCTAAGGGAATCAAGCGCAAATGGAGCCTGATAAATGGATCTCTGGACCAGCAAATTAGATCTTCATTATGTCTCCAGCTGGGCAGTTCTTCTGACAGAAAAGGCTGCACAGTGACTGCGTGCACCTCATTATCTTCAGCTAAAGAAACGGAAGGAGAGTCCACGATGGATCTAGAACTGGATTTCACTCTCCATCTTGGTCGTGAGAAGTCACAAAGTCCAAAACTATCAGCCAGCTACAATTTGAAATCATTTGATGCATGTCCTAAGGTTGATTTGGAGTTGAGCCTTTCCAGTGGGCCTGCTGAATCTGATATTGCAAATGTTGATCGAAGCTCCACAGAACCAAAAAGTATCCTCAAAATGCCAATTGGCGGTGGATCTTTAAACATACAAAAAGGATCAGCAGGAAGTCATTTTTATTCACTGCAGACTGCACCAGACATGGAAACAAACTACTTTCTTAACAAGGCTCTAAGGCAAACTAAGTCAGCAACAGTCGTAAAAGATATCTCGTCAAGTGTCGTAACAACACCAAAAGTCTCAGTCACCTGTACTTCTGGGATAACACAGCCACAACAGCAGCGTAGTAGTAGTACTAAGCAATGTCAGTTTCAGGGATGTCTGAAGGGAGCAAGAGGTGCTTCTGGTCTCTGTATAGCTCATGGTGGTGGTCGAAGGTGCCAACGACCTGGTTGCCATAAAGGAGCCGAGGGTCAATCTGCATTCTGCAAGGCTCATGGTGGTGGCCGACGTTGTGAATTTTTAGGATGTACAAAAAGTGCAGAAGGACGTACAGACTTTTGCATAGCTCATGGCGGTGGTCGGCGTTGCAGCCATGAGGGTTGCTCTTGTGCAGCCAGGGGGAAATCTGGATTATGCATTCGACATGGCGGTGGCAAGAGATGCCAGATAGAGAACTGCACGAAGAGTGCCGAAGGCCTCTCTGGCCTTTGCATATCACATGGAGGTGGCCGCCGATGTCAGTATCCGGAATGCACTAAAGGGGCTCAGGGAAGCACAATGTTTTGCAAGGCTCATGGAGGTGGCAAACGCTGCACATTTTTGGGGTGCAACAAGGGTGCAGAAGGAAGTACAAGTTTCTGCAAGGGCCACGGTGGAGGGAAGCGCTGTACATTCCAAGTTGGGGTTTGCCCAAAGAGTGTACATGGAGGGACCCTTTTCTGCGTAGCGCATGGAGGCGGCAAAAGGTGTGCTGTCCCAGATTGCACAAAGAGCGCCAGGGGGCGTACTGACTTTTGTGTCCGTCATGGTGGGGGCAAGAGGTGTAAATTTGAAGGGTGTGAAAAAAGTGCTCAAGGCAGCACTGATTTCTGCAAGGCCCATGGTGGTGGAAAGAGATTCTCTTGGGGTCAGCCTGGTTCTGAATTTGGCAAAAGTTACAGTCCCTGTAACTCATTTGCCAGGGGGAAGACTGGACTCTGCACATCTCACAGTGCCCTGGTTAAGGACAAATCTGTTCACAGTGGTGCTGCCACTATTGGATCTGTCTTCCAGGAGTCCAAGTCCAACCAACCTGCTAAGATGAATGGCATTTTAACTGCTGAGGACGAGAGCGTTGAAATAAGTAAGATTGAAGATAATGTTGTGACTTCTGCCAACATTTGGAATTACCATGCTCTTCAGCAATCTCATCTGCATATTGGACGTAGCCCATCTCTGGGTACAATCCCAGAAGGAAGGGTGCATGGAGGAAACCTGATCGCAATGTTAGTGGGCAGTTCTGGTATCAGCCTCACTAGCCGTAGAGACATGGTCAGTCCAAGCCTGGAAAATCTTTCAGGACACATCAAACCATGATGTAAGAAAGATTTTGTATATAGTTTTTCTAATTTGGTTTTAAAAGCACAGTTTCTGTGCATGTACTTGTGTCTGTTTTGCATTTCGTGTCTGCTTTGCATTTCGTGTCTGCTTAGTGATTTGAATATGAGAAACTCTTCTCTCCTATTTTTTTATTAAGGAAGTCTTCATCTTACCATTAAGCTTGTGTGACAATAAAGGAGAAATCAGCTAGGCTGGTTAGCCTACTGAGAAAGCATCATCCTTTTTTTTTCTTTTCATGTAAAGAGTTGCTTTTCTTCCATGAAGGTTTTCGTAGTATGTGTACTGTAGAGGCAAATGATATTTTATTATAAAATAATGTTTCTGACTTGGTGCAGTCCCTCCATAATGAAGCTTATCAGTTTTCTATTTGCTTAATTGTTTTTTGCCATCTTCAAATATTGAAACTTACTCGGAAGGTTATAGCATTCTTTATTTGTATTTAGAGATCTTGATCAAAGAAACAGGCTTTGGGTAAATATTATCCTATAAATCATGATGACTTAAGTGTTAGCGTAATAGGTCTCTAAGATCCCTTTTATTTTTTATTTATTTTTAATTTTTTGTCTCCTGGCTAAGGATTTCTGATCGCTAAAGAGTTCATCACTCGCTGTGCTGAAAATTTGATGAAATATTTCTGGCAATGGGAAATGAAACTCTCGGAGTTGTCATCTTTTCTTCTTCAAGCATTAACTATTTAACATTAAGCCAGAAATGGAAACGTGTTGGGGTAAACTTTGGCAGTGAAGAATTGAAGCAAATAATGTTTAGGACCTCAGATTCTGTGATCTTGTGGCCATTTTATGACAAGTGAATGAGAAACGTTTTTAAGTAATTTTTGGATACATTCGAAAGTACCACTCTGAAAATTTGAATACATTCTTGGTTAACACCTAACAGCGCAGTTTTCAGTCGATGGAGTGTTTTAGATGAAAGACTCCATTTTTCCAAGTTTTCACTGAGCAAAACTCAGCAAAGCCCCTGCACCCCTATGATGAGTTAAGGCAAAATCTTTTGTTACAGAGGTCAAACTGTTGTTTTCTTATTTTACCTTAGAGATGATTTTTATAATTTGGTGAATTCCAGATCTTTATGTTAATTTTGAGATAATATCATGCATCAGGGTTTATTTCTGGCTTGTTCAAATCAAATGTCATCTAGGGTTGGGCACACATCTACCAGAGTGAACATTAAAAATGTTCATGGGATTGTTTTCTCCAATTCTCTAAACTTCAGAATGAATGTTTGATGTCTTTCTCTATCATTCTAAATCGAATCAACACAGAAGTAGAAGGTTGTCCCTTTGTTCATGTGTTGTCTTTTATGCACACCCTGTGCATTAAATTGGAACCAGTTTCCGATTGTCTATTTCTTTTACGAAATAGAAGTGCACTGTGGGAGAAAATGTTGCCCAAGATAGGGGAGAGAGAACTTGTTTTTTCTTCATGGTTTGATTTGTATGTGGGCCAGAAACTTTCTATTGAATTTCTTGCTGGGATTACAAGGTCAGAGCACAACGGAATCATGAGTCCACAAGTCATTGAGTTTTATTTTACATTTAATGTAAAATCTTTGAAATTGCTTTTTATAGTCTTTATAAACATGCAATACTAGGTGAATAGCATTTGCTTCTCTCACAGAGCCTCCTGTTTGAATTTGGCCATCTTTGACAGGTTTTCCACCGCTTCAACTAAGTGATCGAGTCGAGCCACAAACTCCACAAGCAATGATGTAAAAGTTGCAAGTGACAGTGTAGCAGTGCTCTGCAGCGCCTGCATCCTGGGAATGAAATCTGAGCTAAAACCTCCCTCATTTTCTATAACATCAACTTCCCTCGATGGCCAAGAATAGAGCCTACTTCTTGATTGCTTCTTCACCATCTCATGGTAAGATCCTCTCTGCAATTCTGCTGTTGCATAGTTTGGTTGGGATGGCAGATTATAGTTTTGCTCAATACATTTATTATCAGGCCCAACCAGTTGAATTGAGAGGTCAGGAAAGGTAGATGAGATGGCATGAGAGGGCTTCGATGAATTATCCAATGGCTCATTAGCAGATGTAAGGAGGTATGAGTGTATTATGATTGCCCTTTGGAGTCTTTCTATTGAGCTATGAACCCTTTTCAGTTGGGAAGTTTTGAGGCTTCTCCTCATATTACATATATCTTTGCCAAGATATCTGATTAGCTCAGTAGCATCACTTGTGGCCTCTTGGATCTCTTCCTGGAATGTGATTCTAAGATTATATGGGGCCTAAAAGACAATGGAAACTGAGACATGTCAGTTCATTTTGAAGTTCACTCAATTAGAGAAGGGAATAATTTATTTCTGTACTTTATTTTTATTTTTAACATGTCTCTTCACGTACAAACATTATTTATACTTTAATCAAATGTCTGGTGCATGAAACTGTCATAGAGGTTACGATGAGATTTGAACTCAATATTCTTGTATGGTTTATGCTAGCATACCATGTTGAGGTATTTCTGGAGAAGAGGAAGAATTTCGTCTCTAATCCTGTACATATAGAATAAATACATTTTTTAGTTGGAGGCCTCACTCGGGATTAGGGCTGTTAATGGATTGGATTTTGATCCGAATACAATCCGAATTCAATGAAATTAACGGGAGATGGATTTAGGACATCAGTTCCGATAACCTGATTAAGATCCGAATCCGATAATCCGTTAACTAAATAGAGCAAATATGAATATATGTCAATCCGATCCGATTTATTATAATAATATAATATATTTATATATTATTGCATAATTTATTACACATAATTTATTATTATTATTATTATTATTATTATTATTTTTTTTTTTTTGAAACTTGTGTTGTACTTAAACATAATTTTCAAATAACTAATAATATTAGATAATATTATAATGTTGTTAATTGAAATATATGAAGAGATTTAATTTTTTATTAATTAAAATAAAATAAAAATAATAATTAATTTATTTTATAAATTAAACAACCAAAAGAGCTAACATTGGAATTGTTTTCATTATTTTTAACGTATCACTTCCCACATCGGATACTTACTAGAATATTATAAAATTTACAATTTATAAACAAGTGGGCTAAGAATTGGGTAAAAAGCTATCTAAGCCTTTTAATTTAGGGTTAGAAGTTGACTAAAATTTTTATTTTTCTAATTTTTTCAATTTCGGATCGAGTTATAAGATCTGATATCCGATAACACGACGGATCGAAGATGGATTTAACAATTAAATATCTCTTGAATTATCGGATCGGATCGGATAAGATAATTTTCTTAACAGATCGGATCGGATCGGATCGAATTTGGGCAGATTCAATTCATATTCGATCAATTTACAGCCCTACTTGGGATATTTTCATAGAAGACTAACCCAGAGAATATTTGGACACACAATTCTTGTTTGTTTTGATACCATGCTGAACTTCACCAAAAATAATGTATTCATTACGAAACAAGAGAAGAATATTTGGACACGCAATCCTTGTTTGTGACAACAAAAGAAAAATAGTCGTGCTTTCAAAATTGTATATATCAAGATTTTGCCAAAAAAAAGTACTCTACATGCATGTGAAGGAGTTCATCTAAGATATGAATATAAATAACTAAATTTCATTGATCTTAAATATCATTCTTGTGCAAGCACTATTATGCTTTCTTGAGAAGGGTATTGGTTCTTGCATTGGGACGTTCAATAACGGTTTGAAAATTCATAGAAACTATAACATTAACAGAAAAGAAAGTTACCTGAATTTCTGAGTGAAGTATACCATGAAGTGCCATAACCTCATATGCACAGTATCTCAAAACTGCACCAACCTTCACATACTCTAACCATGGATAAAAGAAATGCTGAAACCTTCCATGCGGTGGCTCCCATTTTGCTGAATTGCCCTAATGCACAAAACCAGAAAGAAGATGAAATAATCCTTGTGACTTTCTTGATCCAATTCGATATTTAACATTTTTAAAAGTTTGGATATGTCAGTTAAGCAGTACTGAACATAGGGTACCAATTCAATATTTTATGCTTCTGAAGTTAGATAAGTCGGCAACATGGGGGGCCAAAAAAGGAAAGAGAAGGATGAGGTTTCTCTCGCTTTTGGCATAGCAGGCCCCCACTGGGAGGCTCGCACGACAGGCTATTAACTCAGTGGTAGAGTGCGCCTCTAATAATTACATTGTTGTGCCTGGGCTGTGAGTGCTCTTACTGAACATAGGGTGGGCATAATAATGTTAGATTGGATTCTAAAGAGAATTGAAATGAACTAAATATCACTGAAGTCCAAAAATTCTACATGCGGATCAGAATCAATAGGTTTTGGTTCAGTCTTGCTTGGTTCTTTTTGTACTTTAAAAAAAAAAAAAATTGTAAAGCAAAAACGGCCGTGTAATTTTTCAGGAAACAGTTTATTTTAACTAGAACCGGTTCGTTTGGTTTGGTTCTGGTGGTTCTGGATAAAAGTGCTCACTCTTAATTAAACTTCCCTAGGTAATACTTTCAGTACTGCGTGCAAACTTTTAAGCCTGTGAAGAAAGGAGAAAAAATCTGTCTATATTATCTTGACTGAGGATAATTAGTACCAAGAATTCAAGTTTGGCTGAGGAGTTCAATGTGGATCTGCATTTTCTATATGCAGGTTCATCAGGAAACTCATCGATGACAGTCTTCGAGAATTCTGAAAGATCTGATCCATCATCTTCCAAGTACTTCTTCACACATTCTGCCATAAACCAAATGGATTTAAAATTTCATAAAACAGAGAACAGATAGATAATTGTCAAAAGGCATGTTTGGACAAAATTTTAGTTTCTTGTTTTGCCTCAATACATTCCAATTCTTTTCAATCGACTCTACCAAACAAGCCATAAAGGGTTGATGTATTCATAGATTAGTATACCTTGAAGTGCATCAGCCACTGCATTGAAGTTGTCAACGAGTTCTTTGTGTAACTGCTCCCCAGCCCATATAGGAAAAATGAATACATTTACTGCTACTGCTATGATCCCTCCAATGGCAATTGAGTAAAGTCGATCCATGGCCGTTCTGATCGGGTTCCCCATTCGATAGCCGGAGACAATGATCAAACAGTAGGTGAAAAGTATAACTCTAAATCCAGTCTCATATGGCACGAAGGATGGCAATAACTTCATGAATGATGTTACAGCCCCTGCAAAATGTTAAACCAAGTTTCTCCTTAGTCATATGAGTTTGCCTTTGGTTGGTGGTAATGCTGGTGGTTGGGGGTGTTGGTTTCTGCGGACGTTAACTATATTGTTTTTCGGTTGATGTGGCGAGTTTGACTGAGTCAAAATCTCAAAAACTAAATCAAAAAGAAAATTCTCCCAATTTCCTTAAGCCATTAACCAACACTACATTAGCACAACCACTTAAGTAGTGAACAGATTTTGACAATTTTAATTCAATTTATCATCACCTCATCAATCTGTAAAAGATTATGTAAATGGTGATGTACAATAAACTTTTTTCATTGTCTTATCATTGATTGTAAAATGTGATTTCTAGAACCGGAGCTCCTAAGTTGAATTTTCTTTATTAAAGAGATATATGGACGATTTATATATTTGTATTAGGATGCTCTAGATTCTTATTCTATAAAGGAGTCCGAGGTGCCGTTTGTGTGATGTGTGACTGAAATTAGAGGAGTGAGATTTTCCTTGTAAAATTATTTTTCTCTGAATCAGTGAAAAATCTACGACGGTGAGTGGTCATAGATATTAATTTGAGAATGAACTACTATAAATCTGCGTTTGTGGGGAGTTTATGTTTTTCATTTTTTTTTTTAAAAATAATTATTGCTCTCCATATCCTTATTGATTTGTATTGAATTACTTGATCGACTGAAAATGGAAATAAAGAGTTCGTTTATCTGTCCTACCAACAGTGAAGATGCTCAGACCAATTACAATAGGCTCCACAATCCTTCCAGTTTTCAAAGCTAACTGAGCGATACCAATGGCTAAGATTCCGGCGACTATGGTACCAAATGCTCGGTTGAATCCTCGACTGAACGTGGCACCTTCAGAGACATAAAGATTGATGATGCATAGCTATTCATTTACATTGAACCACCTCGTCTAGAAGGTTACGCGATTAAAGACAGAACAAATTTATTTATATGAATTCTATAGACGTACCGACGGTATATTCAAACATGATGGCAACAGTGAGAATGGCCCAGACAATATTGATGCCAAAAACTTGATAAGGTGCTTGGCATAGTATTAGAAGTGATACAACAAGAACTGCAAACCCCATTTTAAGAGAGAATAATACTCTGTTGACATCTTGTTTGGCAAATTTCCAGACACTCAAAATCCATTCTTTGCATGAAAAGCTTGGCTTGCAAGATTTGTTCTTAGTTTCTTGCTGTTGAGAAGGGATATTAATCTCAATACTCCCCTTTTTCCAATTCATTTCCAATGATGAATTCTTATTTAATCAAGAAATGGGATCCCTAATAAGATTATATATGTTGTGTGTGAGAGGTTTCTTTTGTTTGCAGTACGTGAGTCGAGTTTAGAACATTGTGAAACAGTTGATACCAGGAAGAAATCCTACGGGAGGGGTCGGGACTTTTGAAAGGGAAACAATGGATTTCAACAAGGTTGGCTGGCAAAGAAATTAAGAGAAGGTGCAAGGGATTTAAAGAAGAGTATTTGGCTAAGAGGTTGATGCAATGGGAGAAGAATATCTTGCAAAGATATGATAACTAGAGAAAAAAGAATAAAATGGCAATAATAGAAGGAAAGATGGACTAAAACTTGGGATAAAAGATGCTTTAAGTTCAATAATGTTGAATGGGAACTAAATTGGAATCTAAAAGAAATTGCAATGAATATGGAGCCTTCCATCTCTATTTACTCTTCAAAATATTTGCTTTGCCTCTCTATACGTTCAGGGCTGTTTGATTTCCATTAATTTAATTTATAATTTGTTATAGGATCATCTTCAACCACATTCACACAATAAAATATTCTAACTTTTCCTTACTTTTAACCACGTATTCTTTCAAAAATACTATTCAAAACTCATTTTTTTTCCAATTAATGAGAATCAAACATGCTCTTAGTATGATGAAAATCGGCACCATATCCAGCTGTGTATGATCATCATCGCTCATAACCTCATAAATTTTTTCCCCCATATAATCAGTTAATTTTCTTGAATTGCATGAGCTCAATCCTTAGCCTGCTTGCATATTGAATAATTTTGCATGCTTTAGAGTTGCTACTTGCCAGTGATTTTACATTACATTATGTGGATTCAGAGGGATAACATAAATAAGAAAAAAAGTTGTGAAGCATGGTGTCCGATACTTGGACATGTGTTTGACAAGTCTCTAATTTTTTATATAATAAAGCAAATATATAATTTCAAAAAAATTTAATCGATATGTATTCGACATTTTACATCTTTTAGAAGTCAAGCATCTGTTTGTTCGTATCGTATCGTGTCTCTGGAAGTCGGGGGCCTCAACACATGTAAGCAACCTCTCCATCATTCTTCCTGTTTTCCTTCCTATCCTACTAGCAAAAAATATTAGTAACTTGTTCGAAATGAAAGAATTTGTTGACTTCAAAAAGTGTACCTCCAGATTGCCAACAGATCTCGAGACCTCACGTTTGAACAAGCCGTTTTCCTGCACACCAGGACAAACCGTTAGACACACGTGGCCTTCTCCGATGGAGGTGGAGCTGACCGCACGCACGCACTCCAACGATTAAGTCAGTTGGAGAAGATATATGTGAGTGTGGGTAGGCTTTTAATGTGAACCTCCAATATAAAGAGGGTCGAAATCGGGAGTAAAGAATATAGAGAGCAAAGTTATAGTATCAAAGTTTAAACTTGCATAACTTTTGAATTGACATCAAGTGCGAGCTTTTGTAATAGAAGAGGATGAGTAAGAGCCATTGGATGAAGAGACACGTGGCCTCATCTTGGCGGCTAGGGCCTTTTGTCATAGGCATCAATCAGTCAGGTGTAGGCTCAAGTGCATTTAATGTTATGACCATTAGCAGTTCTAAGGCTGACATGTAAGACTAGACTTGATTTGCTGATTGAGTTGAGCCGCCCATGCAGTGAGTCAGTGAGTAGTCACATTACCCACTTGTTACAAGATCTTGTATGAAGATCTTCCTTAAGATGCCTCTACCTTCCTCGCCTTGTTCATGGGGGCTCCGCCCTTCATTGGGGTTCGGTCATGGGGGTTCGGCCATGGTGGCTCATCCATGGGGGCTCGGCCATGGGGGTTCGGCCAAGTGCGGGCCTAAGTTCTCTTGCGATGCAGCTGTCATTTGTCAATGCTTAGAGCCTTATTGGAAGAGGCGTAACAATAGTCTCCCAAGTTCGTGTATGAATATTTATATAATGCGTGAACTTGAAAGTTAGGATTGACAATGTTTAGAGCCTCATTGAAAAAAGCGTAACAGAATCTACATTACTAAAATACATTTAAGAAAATAATTATAATCTTGTTCATTGCACGGTTGAATATATAATAAATATCAATTGCCTCTTTTTATAAATGAAGAATGATGATAAAAAAAAGAAAAAAAAGTCCTGATTCTGAGTGGATTTGAACAAATTGACAGATGCTTACCATGAAAATATAGAATAAATTCTTATGTTATTGTTAATTAAGGAAATTGATTTTTAAGATGAAATGATGGTCATCATTGTCTTGTCATTTTTGGGTGTGCTGTAAACAACTAGAATAGATTCTTCTAGCTTCGAGTTTCCTGTTTATTGGTATTTATCTAAGAGTAGTGGTACATATACACTTTTCATATATATAATCGTTGACACCTCCTTCCTCACATGGAGGGAGCCCCTACTCATTGGTTTTTATTTATGAGTAGTGGTACATGAACACTTTTCGTGTACATATCGTTGACACTCTCTTACATGAAGGGAGCCTCAGCACATAAGCACATAATAAAAATTATGGCAGCCCCCTTATATAAGGAAGTGTCATTTAATATGTACACAAAAAAAATGTACAAGTAGTTTTATCCTTTATCTATATTCATTTTTATTTTTTTGGATTAGGTTGGGTTGGGTTGGGTTGGGTTGGGGTGAGATGAGGGTGCGGTCTTTGGAGTGGGATTTTGTTTGTCTTGTATTAAGTCCCGTTTGGTTTAATTAAAAATTTTGATTGGCTTTATTCTTAATAAAAAATGTCTTTTTTTTTTACCCAAATTTTTACTTTTGGGACGTTTGATTATCATTTTTTTCATGAAAAATATTTTTGAAAAGTTAGTTACATGATCATGTTTTCCAAAAACAAGGAAATACACACGCACAGAGGGAGTAGATTTTAATTTTTTAGGCAATTCACAATTTCCAAAAGCCCAACTTTATGGAAAAGTATAATATTTTATAGGTTGAAAATTAAGAACTCGTTCGGCATGACTTTTACTTTTATTTCGTGTAAAAGAGCTTTTAAAAAAAACTACATTAATTTTTGTTTGAAAATTGTTATAAACTAGAGAGAATTGAGAAGTCAATAGACTTGTATGTTTTACTAAGAATCAAAATCTAATATTTATCGGGAAGCATTAAGGATATAATAGTAATAAAAACTAGGGTTGTATGGGTAAAATTGTTATTTACTAATAATTATATTATTTACAATACTCCCCTTTAGATAACACATTACAAAACATTTGACTCGTTAAAACATTGTCAAGAAAATCTAATGAGACAAAACTTGATCGTAGAAAAAGAGTACAACTGCTGCCCTTGATTTCAATAAATGAAAATTCTTATAGAAAGCGATCCATGTCTTGTATGCCAATGTCTTCCATATTGCAATTTTTTGTAAAGTATGTCTCTATTGTCTTGTATAATATTCAAATAACACCGTCATCTTATGAAATATTTATCAACCTTTGTTGATCGAAGTAACATGATGATTCTAAAAATAGCTCTTATTGATTTCTTTGGGAGTCTCATATGTAAAAAATCATTATTTTGAGGATATATGTATTGTATGTTGTGAACATTTATGACACAAAAAATATGCCTTTTTAAATTTTTATTAGGAAAATTCATGAGAAAATCATAATGAAGAAGAAATAGTATGTTATTTTTTTGGATATGCTACAAAAATTGTCACGTTAAAATTCTTGTTTAGAAAATTCAATGGGACAAAACATTGATCAAGTAAAAAAGAGTACAACGCTTATTTATCCCCCTCATTCTATTATCACTTGAATTATATGCTTTAGATATAGCTCCCGTTTGGCCCCCATTCTCATTCTTTTTCTCTCTTATTTTCAATCATACAATCTTCCATAAAATAATATTACACGCAAATCAAAAAATTTTAATTCTTTTTCAACAACACATTTTTCAAAAAAAACACTATTCCAACCATTAACATTTGATGAGAATGGGGGCCAAACGGGGGCATATTAAATCTTTCAAGAAAATTAATGGTTATGTCAGATGAGTTGGCTATAATTAAATTTATTATATACATATCAAATTCCATGTATTGTTAGACTAATAAAATATAGACTTGTGATTATATCCACCACATGATAATTTATCTATTTATACAAATCTTTACGAAATTCATTATGTAAAGAGTCATACATTTAATTTTTTTAATTTTTATTTCGCATAAGTATTCACCTTCAGGTGTTCACACTGTAAATTTAGAAATTTCAGGTTTCTTTAATAAATTCAATTTTGATAGGATTACATCATTTTATTTGATCAATTACTTCTTCGATCGATGTACTTTAACAAATTTATTTCGATATTCTCGCTATTCATAATATGATGCAATACATTATGTACAAAAGTGTTGTTGACAACCATTTCTTTTTCGATTCTATTTATGTTGCATAACGACATAACTAATAGAGATATCTCAATTTTCACCTATCAGACACCTGAACCTCTTCCGAAATTTTATAATTTGTTATGTTTAAATACTCATTAAGAGTATATGCCTTTTTAATATGACTATCTTTGCTAATTGCTTCATTTGAAGATTTTTGTATTAGAATCGAATATTATCACATTTTAAGTATGCCATAATTTTAACTAATTGTCCTCAAGACTTTAATTCAAGTTGAAGCATCTGAAGTTAGTGTGTAATATGTTATTGATCTTTTTAGTTAATAAATGCTTCTAAGTGAATTATCTTTCGAACTTTTAGTTCGAATTGTCTTTTGCGAGAATTTAGATAATGATGCATATGTATATCATTTCGAACTTCTTAAGTCCTCCCCCTAATGCTGAGATTGTCCAATTAAATTGACAATCATTTTTACTGCATTGTAAACTATCTTTTGCTTGGGATAAGAGTTCAAACTATGCACTTATTCACTGCATTCTTTTCTTTTCATCTTAGTGCATTGTGGTGAATCAATTACATATGTATTGTACTTCAAAGTAATTAGATGAAAAATTAGTCTTTGACCACAAGCCAAATAAAATGGAAAAACTTTGATGTTGGCATGATACTAATCGCATTTCCTAGACAGAAGTGGGAAACACTTTGTTCTCAATAATAATGATTTATAAATTAATTTGGAAGCACTTAACAAATAATAGTGTTAAATCATTTATTGTCATCCCAACTAGCACTTACTAAAATGTTAAGATTTAAACTCATTATCATTAATAAGACACATTATCTTGATTTTATAATCTAAAAATTATG